AAGAAAGAGCATTGGGTTGCCTTAAAATGGACACTTAGATACATTAACACTATAATGCATGTTGGATTAGAGTATTGCAAAAGAACTCCTGCACTTGATCTTGTTGGGTATGTGGATTCTGACTTTGCAGGAGATCATGATTCAAGGAAGTCCACCACAGCTTATTATTTCACTTTAGGTGGAAATTGCATTAGTTGGAAATCCCAGCTTCAACCATTAGTGGCACTGTCCACAACAGAAACTGAGTATGTTGCAGTAACTGATGCTTTCAAAGAGGCAATCTGGCTACAAGGGATTTTGAAAGAGATAAACTTGATGAATGGCCCTGTGACTGTATATTCTGACAGTCAAAGTGCCATTCATCTAAGTAAAAACCCAGTATACCATGAGAGGACGAAGCATGTGGATGTAAAGTATCATTTTGTCCGAGATCAAATTTCAAACGAAATTGTCAGCCTGCTAAAAATTCCAACTGAAGGAAATCCATCTGATATAGGAACCAAAGCTGTAACTGCTGTAAAGTTCAAGCACTGCTTGAACATTCTTCACATCAACTGAATTCAATAGAGCAAAGAAGGAGTATGAGAACTGCTTGCTGCACCTGCTGGTTACTGACAAAGGAAAGAATAAGGCTTCAAGGTGGAGATTGTTAAATGTGAAGCCTTAGAGCGACACCATTTAACTTAAGCCAAGAAAGTCCAAAACGACACCATTGTGACTTAAACTGATGCTTAATCCTGATCGTTGGTTTGAGAACAGATCTGATGGCTGAAGACTTAAGCTGAGTCAAACCTATAAAAGCTGATGACTCTTCAGTTTTGAACTAACGCGTTTTTCTCTCTGTTTTGATATCTCTCTGAGTTACAAATTAGGGTTCAAAATTAGGGTTTATAGTGTGGGTGTAAATCTACGGGAAATCTGTCCATTAAGTTGTGTTTCTTAGTGGGGTGGGAACCTGGTGTAATGTTCTTATCTCAGATTGTAGGTTTACTGTTGTTGTTCCAAATCCTGGTTGATCTTGGTTGAAATCTTGTAAGAGAGAGAGGTTGAGGGTTGTAACCATTCTTGATCGAAATAGAAAGTGCAGCGAGCATCCATATTCTGGAGCTCAACGTAGACGTAGCTTGTTCAATATTAAACAAATGAACCACGACAAATACTGTGTGTCGAATCTGTTTGGTTTGCGTTGATTGTGTGTTTGTTGGTTGATGTTTGCTTGATTTGTTTAAAAGGATTTACAACAAGAAGAGTGAAATCTTTAAAAAAATTTCATTCACCGAGTCAAAGGTACAAAAATCAGAAAATCCTGTGTTCGTTTGCTTCACCAGGCACGATGAAAGATTAAACCAAATCACATAAGCATAGAAATCATTGTTGCTCTTATTTATCATTCCTTGGAAAAGTTGACTAATAAGAGATGAGAAATTCGAGTTTAGATTTAGTTTAGCTTAATCTGCTGATGGGTGTAGGGACCTGTCCCTGAGGTTGGGGATGAAGGGGGATCCTAGGCCTGGCTCGCGGGGATTGGGTTGACCCTTAGTCTCATCCCGGTCAATGGGGTCTTTGCGGGGTCAACAGTTATGATGGGCTTTAGGATTCTTGACTGTGGGCTCAGTTAGGGCTTTGATGGGCTTTAGGATTATTGACTATACACTGGCTTAGGATTTTCATGCCTTTAGAGCCTTAGGTTTTTTATTTTTTATTTTTTAAAAGTACATTAACATTTGTATCTAATTTGTGGAAGTACGTGGTCTTTTATTTGAATATTTAGCTTTTATTTGAAAACAAAAACATTTATTATTACCCATTTGTATATGATTTCATTCAATGTTCACATAATTATAATCACATTTTATCAATTAATAGTGTGAAAATAATTATTATTAAAGTGGTAATTTCTTGACAAATGAGATTTTTTTAAAAAGAAAATGAATAGGAGAATACAAGCAAAATTAATGGACAGATTAATTACAAATATTATTTAAATGAAATGTCACAAATTAATTATAATATATAGTAAGACTTGTTACATATAATGCATGATCAATTATAATATGTACTAAGACTTGTTAGTTATAACATTCGTAAATTGTTAGATATATAGTAAAATTAGATATTAGAATTTAGAAAATATTATTGTCTAAAATTAGATATTAGACTTTTGTGCTACAATTTATTGTGTCTCTCCATCTTTATAATACACATAAAGTTCATCTTCCTTCTTTTAATTAATTGGTAATTTTAATTTACAACGATTTTAATTTGTTCTTAGATAAAGTTCATCTTCCTTCTTCTAATTAATTTGTTTAGTTTGCTTTATTGATTAATTTTTAACTATTTAAAATAATATAATATTAATACGATTTATTGAATATTGATAAGGTTGCATAGAAAATATCTTATATTAAAATTTTTTAATGAAATGATACTATGTTATTTTAATGCAATAATAATAATAATAATAAAATTATTTCATTATATAATATAGAAACAATACACTTCAAATTTAATACTAAAAAGCACGAATTCATCGCCATTGCAAGGAAAGCACAACATCAAAAATATGGTGAAAACTTTTTAAAAAACGAGAGTGTGATAATAATTTAATGAAACCAAGTAAAGTTCCTCTTCTTTTAGGTGATATGTTCTTTTTCTTTTTCGATGTCACAAGGACTCAATCTTCGAGTTTAAGAGGAAGCATAACAAGCTAGAGAGATTGAGATACGACATAAATATTATAGAAAACACTCTAAAAACAATAAAAGAGTGATAAAATTAGAGTAGTCAAGGAAGAGAGACATAATAAACATAGCTTTGCTATTTTATTTCCAATATATTTTCTGAAGGATGCTCAAGTTTTTGTTTACTCTTCGAAAGACCAATCTTTCACTCTTCCAAAGATCAAAGTCAAAGAAGTCCCAATCAGTGACAAGAAAATCAGCCATGGAAGAGATATTTTAGTTATGAACATCTCTTTGCTCTGCTATCTGTTATACATAACCAAAAAAAAAAAAAAAATTCATGATATTACATTATTACCACAGATGTCAATATTAAAAAGGACATTCGATGTCAAATGCTTCAATGGATTTTAATCTATCTACCCCTGGGAATGTGTTGACACGAGGCTTAGGCCATCAAGTATTGAGTTGTTTCTTACTTCTAGTTAACCAAACTGCAATACCAGCCAACCCATGTAATCTGAGTGATCAAATGCATCATCTTTTTTTGATAAATTTTATAGATTTAAAGAATCGAATTTTGGAATCAATTTATAATGATTTTAAAAAGAATTTTATCTATTTGTTTTCTTACATCTCACAAGAATTGGAAAACTAAAATGTTTCACCAGTAGAATAATTTACATAACATTTCAAAATAGTTTTCTTACATCCACTACAATATGCACCAATAATTATATTTCACTCTAATTAATNAAAAAAAAAAAAAAAAAAAAAAAGAGAAGGAAGGAGGAAAAAACTAGTTTAAAAACTTTCAAATTCAAATCCTATCCACAAATCAATCTAGAATAATTGAAAGCAAGTAATGTAAAAGAATTATACCCCTGAACCTGTCCCACTAAATATTTTACTATAACATCTCCTGTAGATGGACCTAGCTTCATTTAAATGTCCCAATTCAATTTCCATAGCTATATAAACTTGCCAAGCAACATTGACCCGCTGCATAGCCAAAAAGCAAGTTATACGGAAAAAATACAAAGATGGATCATAAATCAATCATATTGAATTATACAGGATAAGAAAGAGAAAAAGATGAATGGGCCAAACCAGGCTCTCCCAAAAGCCCCAAGCTGCAGCCTGATCTTTTCCCAAATTTAGCTCCAAATGAGCCCAATAAGCGTACAAATGTAGCAAACCATCCGTATTCTTCATCTGTCGAGATAAGTAATCAAACGCCCGCTGAAAGGAAGAAACTTCACATTTNCGTTCTACCCTAAAATTTTGCTTACCCCTATAGAAGACCTTTACGCGCTTTGTCATCTAGTACCTTTAGAAGGCAAGCAACTTCACAGAACCTAACATGATGTCTATACAGAGATTCTTCATTCACTCCCGGTTTCATCTAATTTTTAGCAGGTCTCGCCCTTCTTAGAGCCCCTTGCATTGCCCATTTGGCCATCAAACGCATGTAACATAGTACCCTTAAACCATCATCTGTAGTCCAAGCTTTAGGAGTTTGGTAAGAGTAACTACAAAGAAAAAAACAATATATCAATGAATCAGGAACAAATAGTTCTGGAGAATATAATTATCAATGTAAATTATGCAGAATGGATAGTTTCGTTGGAATCGGAAGAATATATCCTAAAGGCAGTAACCTCAAGAGCCAAAAAAACTATCTATTAGACATTATTACTACTGGAGTTTTGTCCAACAATTCTCACCAGCAAGAATCTACAAGTAAAATGGTTAATCAGCACATCCAACAATTTATGTCTGTAATAAATTTTAATCAACTGAGAAAACCAATAAAGCAATGAAATCTATAAACATTTCAAACTGATTTAGATCTAAAAAAACAGACTTATACCATAGTTAACAGTCTATTTAATGGCAAATGGCTAGTACTAGACCTTGTCCTTCAAGGTTTAAAAAGGTAACACCGTTATATAAGACAAAGGGGATCTTACCCAAGTCCATTTTAAGAACATGCTGCTTCATAGATTCCACTGACAGTTTGAAATCCCATATCAACCAAATCTTCATGGATCATCATTACAACAACTGCCTGAGTGACAGCAGAATATATTTCTCGTGACAGCAATGTTGTCTTGTCAACTGCATTCTTCGCACGGTAACAAAGATAGAGCCTTTCCACAGCTGGCTGAAGCCTTTGCAGTTTCATATTTCAATGCTGTCAAATAATGCTCTCCTGACAAGGATACTACTCTGAAAAAGTGAACCACTCAATAAATATTTATCATGAAATTTCAAATTGGCTTTTGGATAGGAAATGAAGGAAGCAGGTTCAAACATTCACGATATTTTGTCCTTCATTAGTAACTGCATGACTAAGGACATTGTACATTCATTCAGCCTAACATTTGTCTCTGCCATCTTATGAAGGAGTTCAACAACTCTTGTCACCTCATTATTCTTGAGGAAACAGAACATAAGCGTATTGAATGTGAATACATTAGGAGCATAAACTTTTTCCTCCATATGTGAGAACAACTCATTTGCCTTTTCTAGTTTTCCATTTTTACAAAGCGCATTAATCAAAATGGTATATGTTACAACTTTCAAAACTAGGTTTTCTTGACGAAAAAATTTCTGAAATAGCTCCCAAGCAGTTTTGAATCTCCTTGTTTTATACAATCCATCAATGAGGGAACTCAAACTTTCAAAGTCAACTGCAAACTTATTATCTACTAAAGTATTAAACATTTCCAATGCTTCCAAAACACATCCATTCTTGCAAAATCCATCAATGAAAATGTTATATGTCAATGAATTGGCTATAATACCTTTAAGTTGCATCTCATTGACTAATGTTCGTGCATCTTTTACATTACCATTAAGGAAAAGGCCAGTTATCAAGGTGCTATATGTAATCACATCAGGCCTAATTCCTTCGGAAATCATGTTACGATAAAGATAAAGAGCTTTGTAAATATTTCTGTTTTTGCAGTACCAATAGATTAAAGTAGTGTAGCAAACAACATTAGGTCTATACCCCTTTCTAGTTATAGAATCAAACAACTTTCTTGCATCACCAATTCTATCTACCAAGCAATAAACACTTATTAAAATGCTGTAAGTATAAACGTCGGGATCCACACCACTTTGAATCATCAATTCCAACAAACTATTTGCTTTGTTCAATTTCCCTTTTTTGCAAAGTTCATCTATGACCACACTAAATGTCACTATAGAAGGCCGCACACCTTGATCCATCATCAATATAAATAAACTTTTACACTTCTCCCAATCACCCACACAACACAAACCATGAATTAGAGTGGTATAAGTGATCACATTAGGCCTACAACCAAAAGCAACCATTTTCTTAAACAACTCCCTTGACTCCAGAATCTTTCTCTCTACACAGACCTTTAATCAAACACGTAAAAGTCACAGCATCAGGGCTGAAACCCTTCTTCAAAATCCCCCCAAAAACCACAAAACCATCCGAAACCCTTTTGATATTACACATGCAATTCAATAAAGACATGAAATCTGGAGACAACACAGTTGAATTCAACATCTTATAAAGCGAAATCACTTCACAATAATGCTTCTTCTTTGCAAGTGCACCAAACATTATGTTGAATGATGACATTGGAGAAATGGGCTGGGAATGAATCATGTAATTAAAAAAAGTAAAGAGCTTCATTGAATGTGAAGTTACCTGATCGACATTTTTCTTCGAGGAATAGTTCAAGGGGTTTTTTGAAAGAACACAAAACTTCATTTTTGGAGCTTGAAGTTGTGAGGCTGTGTAAGCCAGATAACAAAAATAAAACATTGACTATCAAAGATGGGTTTTGAGAGATTGAAGACGAACGAAATGGGGATCTCAAACTCAAAGCCATGTATGAAGAGTGTTTTTGGGGTCGTTTTTCCGAGTAGGTCATTGCAAAAGGCAAATGCATTAAAGAGATGTTTTGACAAATTTCACAAACAACCTTTAAGGTTTTCAAAATTGAACTTATGTCAAGTATCGATCTTTTCTAATCAAACCACCTTTGTGATTTCGAAAATTGAAGGTTAAAAATGTAAATCCACGTTCAGGTGTTTTTCAGTTTGAGGTGATTTTCTACTAAATCCAAAATTATCCGGTTGATCAAACAAACCAATTTATATAAGTATTCAATTTTACCTTTTTTTTAATAAAATTATAAGATTTAAATAAATCATGCTATTGAACTTTGTATTTTATTTACAATGGTATATAAATTTTGTTTTTTTTCTATTTGTTCTTCAAACTTTTAAATATACCAAAATCGATATTACTTACTAAAGTATGAAACATTTCCACTTCTTCCCAAACACATCCATTCTTGCAAAGTCCATCAATGAAAATGCAAGTTAACAAATTGTCATTTATGATCACATTAGGCCTAATTCCTTCTAAAATCCTCTCTTGATAAAGATTAAGAACTTTGTTGACTTCTTTATTCTTGCAATATCATCTAATTAAAGTATTGTAGCAAACAACATTAGGTCTATATCCCTTTTTAGTTAAAACTTCTTCATTTATAAGATCAGTTTTTATGTTGTTTATTAGAGACTATTATTAGAGGAGTGCCACGAGGCAGCGAAGTCGGATTTGAAGTTCATTAGAGACTATACTTCCAATAATAGATGGAATCAATTAGAAGAGAGAAAAAAATTATAGCTATAAGTAGGGCTACAAATGAACAAAACAGTTCGCGAACAACTCAATATTTGTTCGACAACTGTTCGATACTGTTCGCGAACAGTTCGATGTTCGTTCGATAATATGTTCGATCGAGTTCAAATATGGGTTATTCATTCAATTATGTTCGCGAACATTAAACGGTCGACTGATCTATCCGTTTGTGAACAATCTGTTCGATTCTTCGTTCATTTATATTCGAAAAACATGGTATGCATTATTATAATTTATATATATTTTTTCTTTTTTATATTATATTTGGTTTAGTTTGGATGAATTTTTTTTTAATGGTAATCAATAATAAAATATTATGATACTTTTGTTTTTCTTATATATATAATATGTTTGGATTTTTTTTTTCCAAATGTCATCAATAATTAAATATATAAGTACATAGCATTTTAATTAAAAAGTAATAAATTATTATGATACATAGCATGAAAAATTTAATAACATAATAGATTGTATAATCAAGTGATATATAATATAGTAAATCCAATAACATAATTGCTTCATATTTTTCCAAATGCAATCAATAATTAAATATTATAAGATAACATTTCAATTAATAAATAATAAATATAATATGGTAAATTGATTAACATAACATATTGTATAATCAAGTGATGTATAGCATAACAAATTTAATAATATAATAGTTTAGTTAAATATAGTATGGTAAATTGATGAACATAACATATTGTATAATTAAGTGACATATAGTATGACAAATTTAATAATATAATAGCTTAATTAAATATAATATAACAAATTTATGAACATAACATATTGTATAATCAAGTGATTTAGAGCATGAAAAGTTTAATAACATAATAGCTTAATTAAATCTAAATTAATCACACATTTGTATTAATTATATATTACAATAAACCCTCGTACCACTATGAATTTATAGGTGTTGATACAAAATATATATGTAGACAGTTATTCGAAAGAGTTGGTGTATATTTTTTATTCGAACAGGTATTTACAAGTTATAGAATGAGTTATTCGAACAAGTATTTACGAGTTAGTCGAATGAACACAAACTAGCCTTTTGTTAATCGAACAAACACGAACAATCATCCTGTGTTTGTCCGAGTTCAAACACGAAATCGAACAATCAAACATGCTTATCGAATGAGTTTCGAACGGGGCTGTTCGTTCGTATTCAGTTCGATTGCAAGCCTAACTATAAGACTTTTTTATTCTAATTTTTCAACACATCATATTCTGCGAGAGAATTAATGAATTATGAGACAGAATCTTGAACTTTGCTCTCAATGTTTTCACATGCTAATTCTTTCAATTAATTTCTCTTATTTAATGGTAGTGGATGGATCATTATGTATTTATTTAACATTCGTTTGTTTTTTATTGATTAAATTTTCCATCTTCTCCTCTTTTATTTTTTTTTTATTTATTTTTTATTTTTTATGTTAATCCTATGAACCACAAATTTTATAAGATAATTTTAATAATGTTTAATCACGATACTCATAGAAGCCAAGTTAATTTCAAGAAAATTCATGAATTTTAATGTTAAACATTTATAATCAATGTTTGCTTATTGATTAAATTTCTTTTACGTCAATCGAGAACATAACAACTTTTATAACTTCAATAATGTTTAATCAAAATGATTACTATTAATTTAATCTCCTTTATAAAATTATTATTTAAGTGCAAAACATTGAACTTTAAACTTGCATAAACTGATTACTTATATTAAAAGCAAGAAAGACCACAAGAAATTCTATCGTGTGTGATTTTTGTCGTAAGCTCAAAAGTCTCGGTAGCTCGAAAATCAGTGGATCGACGTGATCTCAAGGTCATGGAATCTTGAAGTCCGACTTAGCATAACCTCGTCGCTACCATCCAATACAGTTATTCGATAGACTAAGGGATAAGCCTTATCTCGAACATCTCGGGAGGGATAAGAACGAATCAATATTTGCACGATCCTAGCGCGTAATCACTAAAATCACGAAATCGCTTGCCAAGTCTGATGCAATCCCGGATTTCTCTCTAATTCCTTTGGTGTAAACTTGTATAAATACCCCTTCCAAATATGAGAAAGGGGTTAGTAAATTCAAAATATGAGGCTTATGGGTGTGAAGTTAGAAGACAAGCTGATTCCAAGAGGCGACATGGGAAAGAGCCCATGGGGGAACAAGTTAATAATGGTCGAAGAAGAAAATCTCACACTTAGTGACTTAGTACATAAAAGAAATGAAAAATGAAACATAATTCATAGATCACTTAAACCCTCTCAAGTACTCACTTAAAATTAAGAAAGAATATCATACAAATACCATGGAATAACGTTCAATCCTATTCATGGGGATTATGTAAATATTCCATTTCGAAAATAGAAAGTGAAACAATTAGATCTTTTTTTAAGATTGGTAGTAATTCATGATCTAACATGTACAAAGGGAAAACCCCATTCTCGATTCTACGAGAAATTTTGTGAAAGCATCCAATAGAATCATGAAGAGTCTAAGTGAAACAAACATAATCATATGAGATATGGATATTCATTCAAAATAGACAATAAAAATGAATATATGTGTGTGGAAATTTTAATCGGGCGAGCATACAGATGATATTCTTCATATTCTTCCTCAGACGTTTTCTAGACCAAAGACATTTTTTCACATTTTCCACAAGCATGAGATGCAAGGCCATTGCTGTTTTAGTACACAAACTCAATGGTGCTCTAGTGGTCTGTCTTTCTACATTAGGATTTTCATCTATGACAAATAGTAAAATGGATTCTCCGCTAGAATAGAATCAATAGGTATAGAAAAGCAAAGAACCTAACATTTGCACTGTGAGTATTCAATGTAATTTTAGACCAAGAATAGACCACCAACCCATAATAGTTTTCATGATCTTGTTGGATCCTATACCATTGGTCATTTGTCACATAAAAAGGAACTTGATCACCATCTAATTGACTAAAATTTCTCTAAATCTTGGGGTAAGGTATTGAGGCTATCCTCATCACAAATTGGATGAAATAAGTGTTCCACAGGAAACATATTAGAACTTTACCCTTTTTGAATAAAATGGGTATGAACTTGACATATCTGGAAGAAAATTTACAAGAAGGGTACTGATATATATTTTTCGTCCTCAAACAGGTATTGTTGGTCATAATTGTGTTTACAGAAACATATTAAGGCAAAACCTTATGTTTTTTATAAGAAAGAGAAGTTTGTCAATTACTGTGCTATTCTAGTTAACATGTAACATCTAACCTTAGGAACAAACCTCACTTCTTAAGGATCATTTCTCTGAACTCATTATTTGACTTCGGCTTCCCATCTTCCACTTCCCCGGCTTTTGAATTTGTCGAGCGGACATCAAGTGGTCTGACGTTCCTTGGCATTGCAAATGTGTTCCTCCCCTTCAGCTGAATGTTATCACTACGTTTATTAGCAGCAGAGTGTGGTGCTCTAGACTCCCCGAAAGTCTGATTACTACTTTGCGTTGCCATTTAACCCAGATGAGTAAGAAAATGAAATGTAGAAGTAATAACAAACGTCTATAGATTACATTGGACACAAAAATACACACACAAGTAATAACAAAGATAAAACATAATTCCAGCCTACCATGTTCTCCAGAGGCCCCA